ATTTGGGGACACTTCCCCTGGAATTAAATCATCACAATCATTTACACTGTATATTTGGGGACAATCCCCTAGAATAAAATCATCACAATCATTTAGACTGGACATTTGGGGACAATCCCCTAGAATAAAATCATCACAATCATTTAGACTGTACATTTGGGGACAATCCCCTAAGAATAAAATCATCACAATCATTTAGACTGTATATTTGGGGACACTTCCCCTGGAATTAAATCATCACAATCATTTACACTGTATATTTGGGGACAATCCCATAGAATAAAATCATCACAATCATTTAGACTGTATATTTGGTTACAGTCCCCTAGAATAAAATCATCACAATCATTTAGACTTGACATTTGGGGACAAAATCCTGGAAGACTTGAAATGAGATAGATTTCAACATTTTCCTTCCTTTTCTTTCTATCTTTTTAATGAGTAAATATGAGAATGATACTATTTTGTTTTAAATTTTTTAAAATTAATTCATACAATATTATATTTTATGCACAAATGGGCAGCAGTTTGAGCTTATTTTAGCCCTCTACCTACAAAGGAAGCACACATGATAGTAAATTTAATATTTGAGCCATCTATTTGAGCCAATGTTCAATTCTCTTTAAACCCTAAATCAGAACTTCATACCTGCTGAGTTCATCAGCATACATTTCCATGTGGGTGGGGTTAATTGTTGGATCCACCACTACCCAGGCTCCACCCCTCAGCTCGGCGTACGGGGGGATGTAAATCATGATGGGTTGATTATATTCTGTCAGGGCATCCACAATGTAGGAGCCAAACTTAAGGACTTGGTCATGCATATCTAAAAATATGAACAGGGTATTTACAAAATTGCAATACATATTCAATAATTTTTATCAAAAAATATGTAAAGTATTTTATTTTAAATAAAAATGAGCAATTTATTAAATGTTATATTCACAATATTTTATCATAAATTGTCTTATTGAGCAAAATAAAATGTAAAACATGTTTCTGCAAATATCTCTACCATAAAAATTAAAAAAAAAAAAATTCAACTTAAAATTTTCAGCCTAAAGTACTTTAAAGAATAAAACTGTGTGTCATAAAACGTTTCCGTAAAACCTTTCCAGACAAATAGTAACAAAACATCAGGGTATAGCATATAAAGGAATGTCAAATTCATGATCTTAATTAAAAATTTCCTGTACCTTTCATTCCACCTGAGAATCCTCTCCAGTTAGCAAACACCATGAGAGGGAGGTCCTCTCTGTTAAAGTCCTTAATGGCCTGAGCTGTCTTATAGGCCGAGTCTGGGAACCATACCTGACCTGCTTGTTGTATCACCTAAATATATATCAAGTACAATTTCATTTTTACAAATTTCAAAATTTTAAACCCTTAATATATGTTCTCCAAGAATCCACACTTTAAAACTCCAATATCTTATTTTCAAAACAAATTTCAATTTGGAGTAAAATATTTATTTTTGAAGAAAAACTCAATATTGTTTTGACATAAGTCTATTATGATTCACTTGATGCACATTGAAAAAATTTAATATAGATTTAAATTTGTTATTGTTTCAACATTATTCTTAAACAATATACTTGATGTCAAAAGGAAAATAAGGAGATGTATATTAATCTGTAGTCATTACCTTGGTCTCCGAGTCCAGATTGGCAGGATCAGCTGGTATGGTCATTTCTACAGTTCTGGTCTCTACACAAATCACTCCCACAGGGATCCCTCCCAATCTGTAATACACACACATAAATATAACACAGCTCAAGGTTTCCATCTTGATACTTCTTGGGTTAATGATTCAGCTACAGTAAATGCATAAAGGGAGACAAACCTTGCTCGACCTGTGACCACTGTTTGTGCCCAAGGTTGTAGGATTTCATGGAAAGATTTGTGATCAAAGAAACCTTTCTGCCAGGAATTCTTGTCATCTACAATAATCACAATAGTCATACACATTATCGATGATTCAGAAATGAAACGTTTTCACAGAGATTCAGAGTCTGTACATGCATTATAAATGCACTATATTTACCTGGATTTTGTCGTCCATTCAGCATCCACCTGGGATCATAAGGAGCCTTTGTGGGGATGAAGTCCACTGGTCTGTCTATAGGGTCCCCTGTATCTAGTACTGGTAATGGGGAACCCTTACACTGAAACAATAATTCAGATTAATTACACTAAATGACAACCGGTCTATCTATAGGGTCCCCTGTATCTAGTACTGGTAATGGGGAACCTTTACACTGAAACGACAATTCAGATTAATTACACTAAATGACTACCAATCTATCTATAGGGTCCCCTGTATCTAGTACTGGTAATGGGGAGCCTTTACACTGAAACGACAATTCAGATTAATTACACTAAATGACTACCAATCTATCTATAGGGTCCCCTGTATCTAGTACTGGTAATGGGGAGCCTTTACACTGAAACGACAATTCAGATTAATTACACTAAATGACTACCAATCTATCTATAGGGTCCCCTGTATCTAGTACTGGTAATGGGGAGCCTTTACACTGAAACAATAATCCAGATAAATTAAACTCCATGACTAACCCTTACACTAATTTAAATCCATAATTACTAACAGATGAAATAAAGACTACCTCAGTCTGTAAAAATGAAAACAAAATCATTTTACTAATTCTTTTGACTAAGGATATTGTTTTTCTTTTATGCTGTACTCTATTCACTAGTGACAGTTATAACACTGAACAGTACCTTAGGCATGTATGACAGCCACTTAATGATTTTGTAGACTCCCTCGAAGTCATCAGCTGTCACGTCGTGTGTGACTCCGTTAGTGTACATGATCTGGATTCCTCCCAGCTGATTGTTACTCGTGTACACCTCCTTACCAAGGACCTGTTTTAATTAAATTTTCAAATCATATTAAGAAAACAACATTGTTTGTGGGGGTTAGTAATGAACATAACTTTTCTCTGGAATTTACATCTTTAGGAACCCTTAAATAAATGTACTGTAAATAACCGTTTATTCATGAGAACTTTATTTTTGCGTAATTACACCCGATATTAGTATCTGAAGTCCTTTAAGCAATGATCACAATTCCTGCAATTTTTTTCTAAATATTTACATTTGCAAATGTTTTCCTTTATATAACACTACTGAAGGCAAGCGTTTTTATAACTGTGTAAATACAGGTATGGGGTCAAGAGGTCATAAATGTGCGTTTGGATAAACGTTCGACGTAATTTCTCTGTGACGTCATAAAGGGTTGACGCGCGTTTAGCGGATTACATACATGCCGTTGGGTTTGAAAAATAAACGCATTTCACACGTTAAAAGTAACAATCAGGCAAATAAAAAGTATGAATAAGTCACAAATGTAAATATAAGTAATAAGGTATCATTTTTTGAGTTTTATTGGGATGTAAAATGGGTTGGCACATGATCAAATTTTCCATTAAGCCCTTCGGGCCTGATGGAATTTGATTACATGACCAACCCATTTTACATCCCAAATAAAACTGATACCTTATTTCTTAAATAAATGAGATACTGACTATCTCTCATGACATACCTTGTTAAGTGCACCTGCACCAGTGAGGATGATGTGGGAGTTCTCCACCTGTATAGTTCTCTGTCCCAGTCTGACCAGATAGGCACCTATACCTATAGCTCGACAGGTAACCTAAATATAGAACAATCTGTAAGCTATAAACCAGATAGACACCTATACCTATAGCTCGACAGGTAACCTAAATAAAGAACAATCTGTAAGCTATAAACCAGATAGGCACCTATACCTATAGCTCGACAGGTAACCTAAATATAGAACAATCTGTAAGCTATAAACCAGATAGGCACCAATACCTATAGATCGACAGGTAACCTAAATATAGAACAATCTGTAAGCTATAAACCTGATAGGCACCTATACCTATAGCTCGACAGGTAACCTATATATAGAACAATCTGTAAGCTATAAACAAACCAGATAGGCACCTATACCTATAGCTCGACAGGTAACCTATATATAGAACAATCTGTAAGCTACACACAAACAAGATAGGCACCTATACCTATAGCTCGACAGGTAACCTAAATATAGAACAATCTGTAAGCTATAAACCAGATAGGCACCAATACCTATAGCTCGACAGGTAACCTAAATATATAACAATCTGTAAGCTATAAAACCAGATAGGCACCTATACATATAGCTTGACAGGTAACCTAAATATAGAACAATCTGTAAGTTATAAAACAGATAGGCACAAATACCTATAGCTCGACAGGTAACCTAAAAATAGAACACTCTGTAAGCTACACACAAACCAGATAGTCACCTATACCTATAGCTCGACAGGTAACCTAAATAAAGAACAATCTGTAAGCTACACACAAACCAGATAGTCACCTATACCTATAGCTCGACAGGTAACCTAAATACAGAACAATTTGTAAGATACACACAAACCAGATAGGTCCCAAAACCAATAGCTCAATAGGTTACCTAAATATAGAACAATCTGTAAGCTATAAACCAGATAGGCACCTATACCTATAGCTCGACAGGTAACCTAAATACAGAACAATCTGTAAGCTATAAACCAGATAGGCACCAATACCTATAGCTCGACAGGTAACCTAAATACACAACAATCTGTAAGCTATAAACCAGATAGGCACCCATACCTATAGCTCGACAGGTTACCTAAATATTGAACAATCTGTAAGCTACACAAAAACCAGATAGGCACCAATACCTATAGCTCGACAGGTAACCTACATGTAGAACAATCTGTAAGTTATAAAACAGATAGGCACAAATACCTATAGCTTGACAGGTAACCTAAATATAGAACAATCTGTAAGCTATAAAACCAGATAGGCACCTATACCTATAGCTCGACAGATAACCTAAATATAAAACAATCTGTAAGCTATAAAACCAGATAGGCACCTATACCTATAGCTCGACAGGTTACTTAAATATAGAACAATCTGTAAACTAGAAACCAGTAGCCCTTTTCACAAAAAATCTTACGACATATATTTCTCTTAAGTGAAAACTTACGATAAAAGTCGTTTTCACAAAAAATCTTATGAAAGACCTAAGTGTAAAATCTGTCGTAACTTTACGACAGCCCTAACCCTCTCTTAAGTGTAAAATATTGTACTTACGTAAAATTATTTACTTAAACATTAATCCTAAGACAGAAATAAATGTAAACAAAAATGGCTGCAGCGTTTGTTGTTTTATTTCATTCGGAGAGAGCAATGCGTCGGGAAAGGGTTTTTCGAGACCGGTCAAACCCTTTGGACAAATTTAATGACGACGAAATCGTAGCTCGGTATCGTTTCCCAAGGCCATGCATTTTGGAGCTGATTGACCTTGTACAAGAAAGTATACAGCATCCAACCACAAGATCATATGCCATACCTTCACATATACAAGTAAGTTTTGCTTTCAGTCTGTAGTTCTTTTTCAACTCGAAACACAAAAGAGAACCTAACGGTTGTCAGTTGGTTTCGTCCCCTTGAATTTACGGTCTATCTAAATTTCGTCTCCAACCAAATTAGGTCCTTCTAGTATAGGGACCTATAATGTATACAATATAAACTTATTAAAAAAAAACACTGTAGTTTGTGTAAGCTAAAATCTTGAATTAATTTTGTTAGATACCTCTTGTATGGGAAATTAACTTTATTTGAAGTAATAAGGAATTAATTTCATATATTGGTCTTATTTTAAACTTAATCCTATGATTTGTCCCACTCTAGCCAAAAAAGGTAATGTCATAACAATCTAACTTAAGCAATCCTTGAGACACTTAGAATATGATATAATTAAGACTACTTTTAAACAGTAATAGAAAAAAAGTTTTATAGTTTCTCACATTATAAGGATAAGTAATTAAATGCTAAAATTTGTATAATTGAATTACCGGTAAATTAAAAATCATAATTTTGTTTACATATAAATGATGTAGCCATCCTTATTAAATTATAATTTTCATACTCGTTTGATTTCCTTCACCCAAGGATGCTTTCATTGCTTAATTTAATTAATTGTGGTTCTGTAGAAGTTAAAAATATGAAACAAGAGACCCATAGGCCACATCGCTAACCTGAGTACTGTGACTAGGATAAAAGAAGCAAAAATCAATCTAGCATTGAAAGATTTAAACCCAAAAGTGGTCACTCTGTGCCCCCTCTCAATTTTGGGCCACAATGATGACCTGAGTCAGAACATTCTATAATAAAATCCTAATATGTAAACTTCTATCCCTATTGTGACCCCACATGGAATACTATTTTTAATTTCCAAATTGAATTGAAAATAATCAATGTTTCATATTTTAGGTGTTGACAACTCTACGCTTTTTAGCCAAAGGAGAGTATTTGTCCGAGGTTGGCGATCTTCATGGAATTTCCATATCATCCGCTTCCAGGATTGTCACCTCTGTTACCTCTGCTTTGTGCGAGTCCTTGGATAATGTTAAGTTTCCTGAGTCAAATGAAGAACTTTCAAAGGTGAAAGAGGACTTCTATCAGATTGCAGGGTTTCCAAATGTTGTAGGGGCGATTGATGGGACGTTGATACCCATCCAAGGCATGACAGGGGATGAGGAGCCCAATTTTATCTGCAGAAAAGGGTTTCCAGCTATAAATGTACAAGGTGTTGTGGATGCCAACCTTCGGTAAATATAATTGAAAAATAACAAGAAACTTTTTTGAAAACTTGAACGTGTTGAGAAGAATCAAAACAATGCCCATTTTTTTTTTCAAACAATGTTATCTATCACATACAGCTTTTCAAACATAGTGGTAAAGTGGCCAGGAGCGACTCACGACTCCTTTATCCTGCAGAATTCCTCACTTCCAAATCTACTGAGGAGAGTTAATGGTTGGTTGTTGGGGGATTCTGGGTATCCACTCAGGAAGTGGCTCTTGACCCCATTTGTTAACCCCAGGACCCCTCAGGAGCAGAGGTACAACAATGCCCACTGCACCACAAGAAATACAGTTGAGAGGGCATTTGGAGTCCTCAAGAGTAGATTCAGGTATAATTAAAATACTCAGATAAATAACAATTCAGTTCATTGGCACTATTGAAAAGAATTAAAAGGAAACTATACAATGTATAATGGTAGTCACTGTAGTACACCTATTTTCATTGCAACATTAACAAATTAACCTGAGGTGTATTTAATTCCTTCTAATATTCTGCAAACAATACAGAAAATTATTTTGAAGTATATAAAAACATAGTGTTATCTAAATACTAGTATCAGATTAGCCTAAATATTCGTATAACCGCTATCCAATTAAATGGAATCCACTGTATTTGATTTACAGATGCATTCACAAAACAGGAGGTAGTTTACAGTTTGCACCTGTAAAATGTATCAAGATTATAGAGTGCTGTATGAGACTGCACAACAGAGCAATAGATGCCAACATTCCAGTCATTGGTGGAAATGACCCCATCCAGCTTTATCATGACAATGCTGTGTACCAGGGCTTGGATAACGATGGGATTGCTGTGCGACAAAGACTTGTTCAGAGGTTTTAAAAACATTTGCTATGTGTTAGGATTTTAATACTACTTTGTTTGTTGTATGTATAAATGCTTGTTTGTTCAAAATTAGAGGTCTTTTTCATGTGAGCACATAGTAACATAGAAATTACATCATGCAATGAACAAATGTACACCCACATAGATGGCTGGTTAATTCCCATGTAAATGAAACATGTGTTCTTTATCTAATTCACAAGTAATGTCTGTGTAGTACAAGTAGACTATGTAATACATATTAATGTGAAGTTGTTTTTTCATGAAAAGGTATTCACCTATCAAATGGCAGGATAAATAAAGAAAAGAACTTAAAATCTTTTATCAATTCCTATTTTTTATCTGAATAGAAAAAAGAAGACAAATGTAAAGAACAGTGATAACTTTTAATTTTGTTTAGTTTGTCAACAATAACAATTTTTTAAAACAATCTTGGTTTGTCAATAATAACATTATTTAAAACAATCTTGGTCTGTCAACATCATTTTTGAAAACAATTTTTCTTGCTCTTGCTGCCAGTTATTAACAATATCACAAAAATGTCTGTAATTAGAATATCTATGAACAGGTGAGCTTTTAAGAATACCTTTATAGACTGCATACACTGAACATATAGCAACATTTATGGTATTAAATGAATTATTGAACACCAAAGCATGTTCTTTTGTTGATATTCATATATGGAATCAATCAATTAAAAAAGGGTAATTCTCAGAGTGTTCACTTAAAGTATACAGGTGCTTGAAAATCAACTCACAAGACTAATCAAGAAGTTTGAAATATTTTATCAAAAGAATGTAAGCTAAAAGATTTTTCCCCTTGGAATAGCCAGTAAAAAAAACATACATGTATAATAATTGTGTTCATAATAATTTTCCAAAAGGAAGAGGAAAATATGAGAAAAGTGCTGAAGCAAAATGATAACATTAATATGAATCGGACATAATGCTCTTATCCACATTAAAACATATACTGATAAATAAACAAGAATTCTGTGAGCCATTGCTCACTAGGAATACCCCCTCTCTGATGTGGATAAACACAATCATGTTAAAATACACAAGCTCAATTACGGACAGATGCACAGAAAAATATGAAATTGACATCACATTCAAATCAAAATTAATCCTACCATATAATATGCCTTAACAAAGAGTGTACTAAAATTTCAAGCATCTGCTATGAATAGTTACTGAGAGAATTGCAATAAAAATTTGTAACAGACAGAAAGACGGACGGACAGACACACAAGGTAAAACAGTATACCCCCTTCTCTTTCTGAGTCGGGGTATAATGATCGCATGAGATGCATGAAAGGTATTATCATCAAACAAATTTTAGGGAGTTTAAAGGGAAATAACTCTTTTGATGATACAATTAATATTACACTGTATAATGATGAACCATACAACCTTAAAAGAGAGTTTCTTGATGGAGATGCTTGTTCTATTATCTTTTACACAAACTTAATAATTATTCTTTCATTTCAATATATTTATATTTGAGAATATTTTCCTTAGATGAACCTATACTGAAGAGAAAGTATGTTCCATTCTGTATGAACTGACTAGGGGGTCAGATGTCATAATGCGATCAAATCAAATGCCAATAAGATTTTTTTCTCTGTCACTGAAACTGCCTTGGAAAATTCTAACTTAATTTGTAGCAATGAAAAAGAATACAAACAATTGAATTCTTTAAAAATTTCTTGTCAATCTTCTTTTGGTGTAAAAAAATGCTTTGGATTATATCATTTGACTTGCCACAGATTATCCTTGGGTGAGGGGGATTCAAGTTTGTTCAAATAAAGGGCCACACCCTTATTCAAGGGGAGATAATTGTAAATTAATGAAAATTTAGTGGTATATTTTAAAAATCTTCTCCTCAAGAACCACTGTGCCAGGAAAGATGAAACTTATGGGGAAACATCCTCAGGTAGTGCAGATTCAAATTTATTCAAATCATGACCCCCGGGGGTAGGGTGGGGCCAAAATGGCCGACCAAAGTTTTACATAGAAATATATAGGAAAATTCTTTAAAAATCTTCTTCTCAATCATTTTCTAAAAAATAGCAAATCCATGATTGGTCATGGGGACTACCTTTGGATTTAAACTTTATAATAAAAAGCCTTTTTTATACTAGTCCTAACCTTGGTGCTCAGGTGAGCGATGTGGCCCATGGGCCTCTTGTTAAAAATAGGATTTCAGAATATTTGTAACATGTAAAGTTTAGAATCTACGCTACCTCACTTGCATTAGATTTAAGGTAGAAGGGGTAATGACAGAATGTATATATGCCCCCTGCCACTTCATGATGACTTATAAACATCTGTTACATAATTCATATGTATCAAGATAAATCGGAAAATTTAATAATGGGTGACACTGAAAATGGGGACTCAGTGGAATAATTTCCGGAAAGCTTTGTAACAAGTGATTCTAATGCCAACGTACTCCTCCTCTGTAACTGAAGCATCTCTTCCTGTTGAGAAAACATTCTTTCATATAGTTTTATCTTCTTTGACCTATACTCTTGTAGCTGCTTTTCTTTTTCCCTCTCCATTTCTACAAACTCCTCCTGGATATCAACTGTTGTTGTCCTTGTCTTCACTGGAAATACAGGTACATGCATTAACATCAATCTAGCTGCTGAATTGATAGATTATTAAACAACTTAATCTGAGATTCTCAACATATTTGAGCAAATACATTTGAACTTATATTCCTCAATCACCATGCATTAACATCTCAAGCAGAATATTTCACTCACAGCTACTATTATGATGTTTCTTCCTTTTCATTGGCCTTGTCGTAGACGAAGCACCTTCTGCTGAAATGGATGCTTGTGGACTAACTGTCAAAAAAAATGAAAGTGCATAACTACTCTTTAAGACAGAAGATATAACAAAAATATTTTTCATATTGACTTATTTACAAATATTAATGCAGTGGAAGATATCAAACATATACATTTACACTTGCAACTGTTCGCCTTTTATATAACACTATTTGAACAAGGCATTTTTACATATGATAATTAATTAAACAAGATGTGTACCTGAAACACTGATGCCACTGTCTGACATTTTAACAAAAAGAAAGACAGACAGATGGACAGGGCAAAAACTTTATACCCCCGATATTAAACTTACGAGGTCATAAAAATGTACCTGACACTGTTGATGGCACAGTTGCAGCAGACACTTCTTCCATCACTAAGGTGTTCTCTAAAATAAATTTGAGAGTGGCTTTTAAAAAGTACTCCATGTGTGAACAAAGTGAGGTCATAATATTTTATGACTTTAGCATAAAAACATATCACTGTGAATTCAGTTTGAACAGGAATGTGACATATATTTTATAGATAGTGAGACATGAACTTTCAATTTGGTAAACACCAAGTTTTTATCAAATTTATGCATTAAATGATTTATTTACAAGACTTTTTCTTTATAAGCTTGTTTAAAGAATCAAATATATTGCATAATGCTTTACAAAAATTTTTATTCCTATAAAAAATCTTGCATAACCAGAATAACTCATGTGAATTACAAGGTAAGAAACATGCCAACAACAATGGGAACAGAAAACAGACAAGATGCCCATGGGCCACATCGCTCACCCGAGAAGCTTTGACCAATTTGTTCTTTACCAGATTTCCCCTTTGTTATACATAATGCATGCCTACCCTACCCCACTGATCATAATTTAAACATTTTAAAATCTACACTACCCCATGATCCTTTAATGGACACACATATTTCAGCTTATTGGGCCCAGTGGTTCCTGAGAAGAAGATTTTCAAAGATTTTTCCTTTATATTTCGTTGTAAAACTTGATTCCCCATTGTGACCTTGTCCTTCCCCCGGTGGTCATGATGTGAACAATTTAGAATCTACACTACCCAAGGATACTTCCGCATAAGTTTCAGCTTTACTGGCCCAGTGGTTCTTGAGAAGAATATTTTTTTATGACCCAACCTTATTTTTGTCTTATCTTGATTATCTCCCCTTACGAGGGGACAATTTAAATTCCCCTTTACCCAAGGATGCTTTGTATCAAGTTTGGTCACAATTGGCCCAGTGTTTCTTTAGAAGAAGTCGAAAATGTGAAAAGTTTACAGACAGACAGACGGACGGACGACAGACAAAATGTGATCAGAAAAGCTCACTTGAGCCTTTGGCTCAGGTGAGCTAAAAAAAATCATAGTAATTTATTAATTAATCATAAACACAAAAAACATACCTTTCAACTTTTCAGGCAAAACTACATCAGTACACATCACAGAGATGGAATCATTATCTATAGGAAAATGAATTACATACAGATTGTAATTATTTCTAAACAAGATAAATGTATTTTACATCTTCTAAGTACATGTATTATTAGTTATATTCATAGTCTTTTAGTGACAGGGTACGGGATGATACCAGGGCAGTCATTAATAAATTTCATACATGGCGAGGCGTAGCTGAGTATCATCCCATACCGTCACTAAAAGACAAAGTAACGAATTACCCCACCAATGAAACATTAACATGTTATCTGTGGTTTATTACTGTTTTTTCTCTGCTTCATGCTTCATCATGCTTACACTATACCTTTTATGATGTCATGTTGTGTCAATTATGTAATACATTGACCGGTTATAGATTTTACAACTGTGAAGGTATAAGAACAACTTTCGGGGTACGAGGGTTGATCCAAAAGTAATGTCACAACTTCAATAAAATTGCTATAAGTCGACGTAAAACAACAAAATTACAAATGATGGAAGCTACATTTATTTCAAATCAGACTTGAAAATTTCAATTCAACATGATTTATACTTTTTAAGATATCGGATTATATATAACATGTGATTATGGTAGTCGCCGCACCTAAATAACGTCATAATTATGATGGATACGCACCGTCATACACCTTCAACGTTTAACTTCGTTTCATAAAATAAAAATTCGAGATTCGCAAACACATTCACAAATTTCAATTTTTAAAGAATTCTTGGTAACCCTCATATGCTCACTTTTTCATAATTAATTCTTCTGTAAAAAATTGTTAAGAGTAGCATTAGACAAACTTATAATTTCACATTTCACTTTAACTGCCTGTCTTTTTGACAACGTCACACGCAGTTGAACGTTTCCGTCCACCCTCCCATCTTTCGGTTTTCTTGTCATCTGCTGAGCAATCAATGACGTATCAACAATCCAAAATCTGTAAAACCATGCATCTGAATAACATTTTTATTTACATCCTTTCCTCTGTGAGACTTGTGAATCAACCTAGCTGTCTGTAATGCCGATTTCCTGATTTTAAAGCAAAAATGCACTACAGTTTGTTGTCTCTAATGTGGCGATTTTCTTCCATTTCGATATTTCCTTCGATCAATGCATCAAAGTAAAACAACCATGTGTATGATAAAAATAGTAATGGCGTCATTTAATTTTCAACTTAAGACCAGAAAATATTGTAAATTTTGTCTTTTGAAAATTTTGGGTGATTAGGTGCTTTGCAAAAATGGTTAATTAATGTGTTTGTCTTTTTCATTCATAAAATGTACACTTTCATTCGTGTCGTTTGGGTGTGACGCGGCGACACCCCGTATGTTTTATATTTTAAAGGTTTATAAAATAAATGCGTTTAAACATGCTTAAATGAAAATTTCATTGTTAATTGGAATTATGATTGTGCATCTTTTGGTATATTGCATTTGATAATATGACGCCAAATATTACAGATATTGACATTGTGACATTACTTTTGGATCAACCCTCGTATAAGTAATCCACTGCCTTCACATGACTTCAACCAATCATACGCTAGGGTTTCACGGAAAATCAACAGAGGTGGGGTTAATTAATTCTGTATACAAGTGACATACATGATTCAAAATATTTCATTGCACTTGGAGTTAGTTTTTCTTATGCTAAAGAGAATAATGTTTACCTTTCTCCATTAATTTGAAACATGAGGTAGCATGATCCAATGGTGCTGCAGTACATTCTGAAGTGTCAACACCACCTAACACGCCTTCCACGCAACTTTTAGATAGAGTGCCAACAATCTAAACAGTAAAACATGATAAATTCAGCACATCAACAGAAAATTAAAAAAGGTAAACTCATAGTGTCATACAGCATTTTTGACATTTTAAAATTAACAAATCATTTTTGGGGTCATTATTTTTTTTTAGAAAAGAACCAACAACAGCAATTTT